ACCAGCTTTTGTTGCTTGCTGTTCTGTTAAATTTTGCTATTCTGACTGGGGCGAGATGATATCTCATAGTTGTTTTAATTAAGTTTTATTCTTTTGAACATTCATATAATTGTAGTTTAGTATTGCTTTAGCACCCTCTTTTGAGATGAGAACAAGTTCACTTCTCTTCCTGTCACTTGATTAGGTAATGATCTTCCAAATTTCTTGGCTAGACTTGTGTGTATGTTCAGGGCTGTATCTATTTCCTGAAACATGTCAATTGGCAATCCATCAATTCCTGGACTTTATTTTTGCCAATGCCTTCAATACAGCTTGAATATTTTCCTTCAGTACCAGGCTCTTGATCATGCCCTGTTGTTGTTGATTGCTGTTAAGTTGAACACAACTCATAGAGACCCTATGAACAAAAGGCCTGAAGCCTTTCTATAACTATTATCATTTATCCAAGTTCATGGAGTTTCCAAAGGCATGCTGTTTAGGAAGTGGATGCCACTCCTGCTTCCAATAATCATATGCTATTTCCTAAAATACTTCAGCATCCACCAACTGTTTGTGGTATCATGACCCTGTTTATTTCCTCCATATTCTTTGGATGCTTCCTTCATCATTCAAAATTTTGTCCTTTAGATCCTTCAGAATTGCAGCTAAAGGTTTTATTTAGTTCTTCAGTTCTTTCAGGTTGAGAAATGCAGAATGTATTCTTCCCTTTCAGTTTTCTAACCCCAGCTCTCTGCACATTTAATTACAATGCTTTGCTTTGCCTCCATACACTTCTTTTTGAAACCTTTTCTGCTTTCTTATTTCCACATTACTTTTCTTTATTTTGGCTTCTTTTTGCTCCTGTGCAAGTTTCAGAGTCTCTCCTGGCATATGTTTTGGCTTTCTGTCTCCCTCCCTCTCCCTCTCCCTCTCTCTCTCTCTCCTGTCTATGGAATGACCTTTTGACTTCTTCATGGATGATATCTTTGATGCCATCCCATAACTCTTCTGGCTTCTGGTCAGTGTTTAATACTTCAAATCTATTCTTGAGATGATTTTTACATTGACTTGCGATAGATTCCGAGTTCTATTTTGGTTCTCATTGACTTGCTTTAATTTTCTTCACCTTCAATCTGAACTTGCATCTGAGTATATCAGAGATTGTGAAGTTGGATCAGCATAGGACAGGCTTCAGATCTGTTATTCATAGTGTCATTATGAATTGTACTTGACTTGACAGAACCTAACAACAACTACAAAGAGCAGTTGACAGTCTGTTGTGCAGTCAGCGCCTGGCCTCGTTTTGACTGCCGATGACTCCTAGTTTTGAGCTTTTTAATTTTCTCTTTCCACACATGATGGCAATACGATTCCTGTGAAGTCCATATGCACAATCACCATTATGGTTTTCACTTTTTTTTAAGTATTTACAATGAATAATTGATTTTACAGAATTCTATCATGTGGTCTCTAGCCTTGTGTCTCTCACCTAGGTCACACCTTCTTGTTTTTCTTTGTTTCCAGCTTTTGCATTCTAGTCTATTATTAATGCATCTTGAGTACATGCTCCGTCAATTTCAGACTACAACAGTTGGTCATTATTGTGTTGTTTGCCGACTTCTAGTCGAGTACTACTCAAAGCGATCCTATAAAGAACCAATCTGAATGCTAACCTATCCTGCATCATCCCCATGGTCCCTGACACACTAGAGCCCATTGCTGTGGTCACTGTGTCAATCCACCTGGTTGTGGGTCTTCCTTCCTTTCACTGACCTTCTACCTTACCAATCATAGTGTACCTCTCCAAGGAATAGCTTCTCCTATCCCCATATCCAAAATATGTTAAACAAAGCTTTATCGTCTTTGACTCCAAGGAGCAATCTGGCTACACTTTGTCCAAAACATGTTTGTTTATTCCTGTGGCAGTCCATGGGATCTTCAGCAGTTTTCTCCAATGCCATAGTTCAAAACCATCAATTATTCTTCTGCCATGCTTACTCGTCGTCCATTTCTCAAATGCATAACAGATGGTCTGAATGAGGAACACCTTAGTCCTCAAACTAACATCAGTGCTCCTCAATAATTTGGAGAGGTCCTTGACTACAGACTTTCCCAGTGCAAAATGTCTAAGACGAAATTGTTGACATTTTCAATCTTTTCTCCATCTTTCATGATGTTGCTTATAGGTCCAGTGGATAAGATTTTTGTTTTGCTGACATTGAGTTGCAATCCATACTGAAGGCTGCAGTGTTTAACCTTCTGCAGCAAGCTTTTCAAGTCCTTCTTACTTTCATCAAGCAAGGTGGTGTCATTTGCATGTTGGTTATTGATGAATCTCCCTCCAATCCTGGTGTCACATTCTTCTTCATAGAAGAATCATTCATTCTTGAATCATTTGCTCAGCATGCAGATTGAAGAGGTATAGAGAGAGGAACAGTTGTTTATTTGCCTGATTCAGGAGCAGAGTCCACACTGGTGACTGGTTGACTGGAAAGAGTGATCTCTTCCTTGTTCTTCATGCCTTTCAGGAAATAGGGCAGTGATTCTCCCTCCTACTGTCCTCCAAGTGGCTGGTAGCGCTCCCCAGTTCATCTCAGCTCCACATGATGTCAGATTCTTGTTATTTTGTACTTTGTGCGGAGAATTTACATGGTGCTAAACTCGCTGTTGTGGGATTGGTTTGGTTTGGTTTTTTTTTCTAAATTGTGATTTTTGTGAAAGTTTACAAAGAGGTTGGTTTTCATTCATTCATTCATTCATCCATCCATATGTATATATATTTTCCCTCCCTCCCTTCCTCTATTTAAAGTTGTAATGCTTGTCCTGTTCCAGATTGTTGGTTTTCATACATATCGTGTTTAATCATCCATTCCCTTCACCTATTCCAGTGCAGTGTTCATTATCTATCCACTCCGGGGACTGATAAGTCCTTGGATTAGCAGGGTCACCACAGTGGAGGAGTGCACCTTCACTGACTGCACCAGCTTTGAGGATTACAGGTTAACAGAGATTATCATTTATTGCAACTATGTCTGAGTGCACACCTGCCAGTACCTACCCCCTAGCCTGGCACAGGCATGTTTCCCAACCAGGTGTCTTTTGAGGATCCTCTGAGGCCAGTAGAAACTCTGTCACAGGTTCGGTGCTCAACTTTTCCATCGAAGGACAAATGGCTAAAGTGACATTCACCCAATAACAAACAAAAACCCCTCACCACTGGACTAATAGGAAACATCATGGTAGATGGAGAGAAGTTTGAGGTTGTCAATGATTTAATCTTGTTTGGATCCACAATCAAAACCTTTGGCATCAGCTGTCGAGAGCTCAGAAGCCTTGGTGCAGTGGGCAAGTCTGCTGTCCGTGATCTCTCCAAAGTTCCAAGGAGTAATGATATTACTTTAAGGACTAAGGTGTGCCTGATCCAAACCATGGTCTTTTTTGTTTTTTAGTGTTTCTATGTTACATGGT